CTAAACTAGATAGAGTCCACATAGCACTTTCTCCCAACACTGAAGGCATGCTAGGGCCAACACTTTAAAAGACCTTGTTACACCATGAAACACCAGTCCCTATCTTCACCTAGCCCCTTAAACCTAGCCTGCTTCATGACCTGAAGCAGCCTGCTTATTTATTTATTAATATGGAAGACAGAGGTGACTTTGGGTGACCAAGGGGACATGGGGGGGGGATGAAGAAGAAAAACCTTGTATGGGAGGAGCTTTACTATATTCTGGGACACAATGCAGCAACACAACTCTGTCCCAGAGAACACTTGAACTGAAGAACACTAGAAAGATTTACTCACCCACTCTAGAAGCTGGCACTGTTCTCTGTGTCCAAACCTTCTTGCAGCAAGGCAATGAATCCTGAAAGTGTCTCAGAGAAAAGAGCTCAGAAGAGAGACCTGACTCAGTTTCAGCAAATGAATCAAGAAATTTTCATGCAACCCAAGACGATGATAATAATAATAATAAATTAAGAATCAACTCAAACACGACTGAAACATGTAATTATGCAAAACTGCTTTAAATGGGCATTTGTTCAAAAGCAGTGGGCTTAAAAAGATTAATAAAATTAAACACTATGCAACAGCATTTCAGTTCCCAACCCAATTGGGTCTTTCAAGTCCCTTTGGGTTCTCATGGAAATGTATGGCCAAGCTCCCACTGATTGAAATGAGACTAGTTAGGAAAGACTGAGCTTTTGTGTGGTTCAGTGGTTTAATTTTAGAATCCCACTACCAAAGTCAAACACAAACCCCATGTTACATAATTTAAACAAAAGCTCCCAGTCTGTGGATGCCAATGATTCTGATTTCCACTTTTGCTTATATTTCAATAGTGCCTTTTCAATGCATTAATTCTATGCATGTTTCTTTAAACAGTTTTTCCCTCTTTTACAGCCTAGTAGCAACCTTATAATTAACTATGGTTTATAATAGGATCATGGATTTAGTCAGGTATGGGTTCAAAAATTTTAAAAATGCACCCCATTTAACATTCAGACTTTGATCTCTTTGTAAGCTGCCTGCCATGTTGCTTGTCTCATTGTTTTAAGGATGTTTGGAGCATTTAATAAGTCTGTTATTTAGATGTGTATTTCTGAAAGAGTGAGAAGGATGTTCAGAATGCTGCATAGCCACTCTTTTACTGAAGATAGAAATCTAGGCAAAAATCGAGAGTGATCCAGCAAAAATGAATTACAAGTTAAACTAAAATCCTGCGCACACTAATCTAGGAATGAATACCATTGTACATGGTGGGATTTATTTTTGGGCATGCATACATTTGAATATATTGGGTGTCCCATCACACTGTGTTTCATCAGCTTCAGTGAAACAAGGAACACAAGTCAATTAATGTGTATTCAGAAGTAAGTCCCTCTGAGTTCCATGGGAAAGACAGCCCAGGATTGCTCCCTTTTTCATGACTTCCTTTTGCTAACATTTGTCTACTATGCTTTGCTTAATTTGAGCTAGTTTCCCTAGCCTTTTTGAAAATGTTCTTTACACAAATATTGTACCTTTTTTTTTTTCAACACTGGAAAATAATCCCACTTACCTTCCTGTAACTTCTCACCCAAGTAGGTCTGCAAGAGTCAAATACTGGAGAAAAGCCATTTAAAGCACTGTGTTTTTTACCTAATGTACAGCTAGTAAAGATAAAAATGAGCTTCTTCTACAATAGTCTTGCTTGGCTTTAATGTTAGCATGTGCTGCTGCTAGGAAGAAAGGGTTTGGCCTTGCTTTCTTTGAATACTACTGACAAAGAGCAAACTGTGTCTCTATCTATTCCCTCCAGTGAAAATCTCTTATTGATTTAAAAACCAGATGGGACTATTCTGTATTATGAGAATCTAATCTGACCTTCTCTTTCTTTAAATGAAGAAAGAACTTCCTCTTTTTTCACTAACAATTGTGTGTGTGTGTGGTTGTGTGTACTCATTATATTGATCTCCTGCTGCAGTATATCGAAATTATTCTTATTCTTCTTTTTCTTATCATTATTGATAAATATGCCAATATGAAACATAATGTAGATGTGCAAAATCAGTGCACAGCTATAAAACACATTATCTCAGTGTATGTATGACTGATACATTGGAATATTGTATTTTATATTTGTGCACTAATTTTTCACATCTACATTACACTTGCATAGTCATCATGAGCTTAATGAACAAAATGAATGTCATGAAGATGTGTGTATATATGTAGTACATAACTATACAGGGTTGATGAATGGGAAGATGAATCAGTTTAATATGTATGAATAAATGACTGGTTCATCTTTACTAGTACTCACTCTCTCCATAGAAGTGTGTATGTGTGTGTTTGTGTGTGTTTGTGTTCCCTAGGGCGAAAAAGGTCTCCTCTTTACTAACTTCATCCCATTATTTTTAAAATTTATTTTTTAAGCAAAGGGGAACTTCATTGTATATTCCAGAAAAGTATATTGGTTGGTAAGCTTTAACAGAGCTAAGGAATATGTGCAAGGAGTGAGAAACTAAATTGATGGATGGATGGTTAAATGAATATAAATGAACTGATACCTTTACAGCAAAATAACATTTCTTTTCTTTTTTTATTCTATAGATCAGTGGGTTTTGTATCTGTAATTCTTTCATATCAGCAAAGAGGAAATAAACTCCCATGTAAATCATTTCCCCCCACCTGGAAGCATATTAAAACCATGCCTTATTTTTTTCCCCTCTTAAGCAAAGCCCCCTCCGCACCCCCCATTTGCTTATCAGTTCATCCACCATTACATTTTAAATGAAATTGCAAAGACACCCCCCTTCCCCTAAATTCTAGGGGATGTAGGAAAGTCAGAAGCATACTTTTCTTGCTTTAGAATACTGACCTAGATTCAATTACAGATAGACCAGGAAAGGAGGATGACACCTTAGCATTTTTCTTTTTTAAAAAATTAGAAAAACCCCTCTCCTCCGCCTCTGTCACAGGAAACAAAACAAAACCACCCCCCCCCCAAAAAAAATTATTCCCAATATAGAAATGTGTGTGTTTTGTTTTTGTTTTTTCTCCTGGCTAGGGTTTTGTCAAACCAGCCGGAATGTTAAAAGCCATTCTATCTCGGTTTTGGGGTTTTGTTTGGGGGTTCTTTCTCCCTTTTCTCTTTCTTTTTTTCCCTGCTGCCCTGGTGGGTCTGGGGGAAGATCCCAGGGAGGGAAATCCAAACCTGGCCTTCAAGAAAAGAGCCGCATTGGTTTGACAGCCGCCGCCAAAGCAAGATCAGCCTCATTACATTAAAAAAAGGATGCTTTGAAGAGGCGGATTTGGG